ACTGTTGTCCTAGGTAAGCCACGCAGGCTTGGTCTTGGCTGCATATCCACATGCCCAGAGCCCTAACTTAGAATGGAAGGGTCTGAGCCATCAACTACAATGATCACTTGAGGCCTGCTGCAGCCCTAAGTTTATTTTGGCTGACATTAAAAAAACAAAAAAACAAAAAACACTTTAAAAACTAAAGTAAATGTGAATGCCTTCCATGACTGGTGCTCCCTAGCAGCCTTCTCAAACTCGTATGTGCATACAGATCATCTAAGGATATTGTTAACGTGTAGATTCTATTTCACTAGGTTTATGATGGGTCCTGAGGTTCTCCCGTTTCTAAGGAACTCCAAGGTTCTGTTGACCCTGCTGGTCAGTGCACCACACTTTGAGTAGCAAGGCTCTCGAGTTAATATAATCCTCACCACCCTCCAATGCCTAATATCTAGCCCAAGTCACCAGTGATTTTACTTCTTTTGCTTCTATAGGCTTTTGAGTGTGTGACACTGGAAAATCCCTGCCTGCCCCGCCCCCCTTCCCCCCCTTTTAGAATAAGTAGTTCTGTGTGGTCTTTAAGCAAGTGAAAGCCTATCTGCTTCTCTGCCACATGGTAATACATCCTGCCTACAAAATAAATGGCTGTACTTCAAGTATCTGTGCCTCTCTGAAAAACATTAGGACATTCCAGTACAAGAATGGAATGATAATGGCTAGATTTACTGGATACCAAGTGTAATCCAGGTCCTGTGCTAACGGCTTTCCCTGCATTATTTCATTGACCACAGCATCTGGGTGAGGTAGAGACATAGCCACATTTTATAGATAAAGTCACCAGGTTAGAAAAGGTTTTATAACTTACTTAAGGTCACACAACTAATAGTAAGTAGACGACCTGGGATTTGAACCAAGCAGTCTGAATCAGAGTCTGTGCACTTAATTTCTGGCTAGCTCGGGCCGGCAGGCAGAACTTGGTTGCTATTGTTCTGTTTGGCTGAACTTAAATTGTAAGAAGGCAAAGCAGGCAGTTTGGCTAAGTGATGAAGACTTAATAGGGTTTTCCAACCCCGTCCATAATCCCACCATTATAGCTTCATTCCTTTCAATTAACTGCATTAACTACTCAGTTCCCTTGAAAAATGGGTTGGATTCATTAAATATCAGTAGGTAAATAGAGAATCTTGTTGGCTGATAGCAAGAATGGAAATCCAAATAGAAGACTGGATACGTTTGAGAGGGATGGGAATATGCCAAAGACAAATACTGGCTTCCAAGCCACTCAGGATCAGTTGAGCTGGAAATCAAAAGAAACATGGAATCTTCTCATTCTGTCGGCACCTGTCTCGCATGGCTAAAGCTGCTCGGTCAGACTTCTTGTAAATAGGAATTGACTATTTTGGAAAGTGATAAACCTATCTTCGTCCTAATACATGGGTTGCTTTGGCCTGGATAATCAAACTGGCCTTTTGAATAGTGCCAGAGCTGGAGTTTTCATTTCTTTCCTGGCCGCACAGCTTTCTAATCATCAGGAAGCAGTTGGAGATAGTGTTTTCATTCTCCCACTTATTCCCTCGTTCTTCAAAGTTTACCGTTGTGTGCCAAGCACTGTAGGGAATAATCACTGTAGGTGATTTCCCAGAAGAGGAAGGACGGCAAACTGGAAGCAACCCACTGAGATGGAATAAGGGGTGTTGTGGACATATATACAAAGGACTTGGAAACAGAAAGAAATGATTTCAGGCACCTGGGAAGATTCTAAGGCAGAGAAATTAGAACTGAAAGTGGGGTTGCAGTCATGAGGTAGCTAGTTGCTTTCCCTCCCCTCTGAGAAGACCCTTCATCGATGGGCCCCAGTAGTTACCAAATTTAACATTAAAATGTTTGCTATGCAGCCCGGCTGACATGGCTCAGGGGTTGAGCATCGACCTATGAATCAGGAGGTCACGGTTCTATTCCCCATCAGGGCACATTCCGGGGTTGCAGGTTTGATTCCCCAGTAGAGGGCGTGCAGGGGGCAGTCAATGATTCTCATCATTGATGTTTCTATCTCTCTCTCTCTCCCTTCCTCTCTGAAATATGTGTGTGTGTGTGTGTGTGTGTATTATTTTTGCTATGCGGTAGACCACCTATCATTTTTCTGTTAATATTTTTCTTTGAAGTCAAGTTGTTTTAAAACTTTTAATGCATCCAACCAATCACATTTATGTAGTGTGAGGAGCAGTAGAGGTATCACACTTCAGAAAATACTGACCTCCAAGCAACACACCTCCAAGCAATGGGGCCTGGGCAGCCTTTGGTTCAGGATGAACCAGCTGATGACAAATCTGTTGGGAGGCTTCACCCTGGTGTTGCTGGATGATGATGACCTATGGCCACCTAAGCACCCAGCTTGATAACAAGACTCTCCGGGTTCATCCTCTGAGCTCCGAACTGCAAGTGCAGGACAGAGATTCCTGGCGAAATGCACATGTCTGCTGATGGTCTCAACCACGTGTGGTCTCTGTGAGGACACAAGGCCTCCTTCCCTGGTGCCACGTTCAGTTAGCAGAGTCCCCACGGTAGACTTACTTGGGCACTGATTGCTAAAAAGTTGTTCCGTCTGTTGTATTTAGAGGGGGTCTGTTGCCCAAGGTCAACTGCTAAGTGGGTGGTAAGGATATTTATTTAGGTAAGCATCTGCCTTCCCTACTCAAAGGCCTGAACATGCTAAGTGCCTTACATGTAGTGAGTATTTGGCAATATTTGCTGACTTGGAGCAAATATGGCATCACTCAACCCACTTACGCCTCTGGGATACTAGTTAACACTCAAAATTCCCATATCTCTGCCAGATCGGAGATAACCAGGTATCAGAGGTCAA